CCCACGTTCCAAGTGGAGCCGGCGCCCAGGGCGGGCGCCCACATTCCGTGCGGGTGGAGGGGCTTGGGCAGGGAGGGGGGCCTGCGGAGGCGGGGCGGGGAGGGGGGCAGGGCTTCTGGAGCTGTCGCTGCGTGCGTGACCCTGACATAATGCTTGGGTCCCTCTTAACCGCCAGCCCCTTCTGCCTCGATTTACCACATTGGAGACAGAGAGAGAGAGAGAAGAGAGAAAACCATTTTGTGAGATGGTGTGGACTAGCGATATCCAGTCTGCGCTGGTCTGCAGTAGGGGCAAAGAAATCCTCAGCTCATTTGAAAACTACCAACAAACTACTAACGCTGACTTCCTTGCCCTTTGGCGGCCGCCTGTCCCTTGCCCTGGCGGCTGCCTTTTGGATGGTTTCTTCAAGCTTTGGTCGGCTCCTCTCTCCACACATTGTGGAGACCCCAAGGAGTCTGTCCTGGAACTCTCTGATCCCTGGGGCTCCCAGCGTGAGCTCATCCATCCCCTCTCCTCGCTGTTGCCCTGAGCCAGTTCTGGCCTCCAGGTCGCAATCTCACGTTAGGCCCCCGGGGCCAGAACTTTGTTCTTACTCTACACAGCACAGCCAACTGGATGTTCTGCAATGGTCTCAGACTTAACCTGTCTCAAATTAAATGCTGTCCTTTCACCCCTCTTCTTTTAAGCCTGCGTCACCTCCTGTAACCTCAGTTGAGATTTGAGGCATCGCTGTCCTCACTTGCCAACGTATGCTTCTCCATGATACCCTCATCTGTCTGCTCTTCTCGTCCTACACCTCATCTCCCTAAATCTTGTTACTTCTGCCCCACAAATCTCTGATCCCATCTGTGTCTCTCATCGTGTTTTCTTGTATATTTCTCATTGGAACAACAAACCTGTCCATTCCACCTCCATTCTCCACTTCAAGGTGTCCACAGGCCCAAATTGTGTTCAGAACCAAAACCGTTCATGTCATATGATGCTTAGATACCTCTTGGGGCTTCCGACAGCTTAAAGGATAAAATTTAATTTCTGTAGGTTAGGTTAGTATATTTTCTTCATCTGCCCTTGTATTCATTTGTTTGCTAAGGCTGACATAATGAAGTACCACAGACTAGCTGCCTTAAACAACATAAATTTATTTTTTCACGATTCTAGAGGTTGAAAGTGTGAGATCAAGATGTTGGTAGGATTGTTTTCTCCCAAGGTCTTTTTCCTTAGCTTGTAGATGGTGGTCTTCCTCTAGTGTCTTCAATTGGTCATCTCTTTATGTGTCTGTGTCCTAATCTCTTCTCATAAGGACACTAGTCACATTGGATTAGTGCCTATTGTAATGACCTCACTTTAACTTAATTATCTTAAAAACAAAAACAAAACAAAACAAAACAAAAAAAAAAAAAACCCTGTCTCCAAATACAGTCACATTCTGGGTTGTTGAGGGTTAGGACTTCAACATATGAATTTTTGAGGGGGACATAGTTCAGGCCATAACAGCTCCCAATCTACTTTTCTAGCATTGTTTCCCATCTTGTACATCCATTTGAGTAGCATCCTTTGTTGGTTCTCCATGTGCTCATAACATGCTGATTTTATTTAGGGGATCACGGCTGCCTATTACCGATTCTGCTGTTTATCTCTTTAGTTATCTGTGTTCTTTACTTAACTTTGAGCTTCTTAAAGACAGGGCTGGTGGCGGGTCTGGAGAACAGGCCTGGCTCATCCTATCCATCAGTTAATTCCCGAGATATTTCCTGGATAGCCAATGCCCTCAGGAGGAGATAGACAAACCACAAATAACTGTCCTGGGTAAGGGTTATGATGCTGCCATCTAAGCAACCTCTAAAGATGCCAATGCCCTGAACAGCACAATCAGGCTGTGTAGTCAAAGGATTCTCAGTAGTCACATGCCAGAAGAGAGCCAGGCCTGAAAAGAGAGTATAGGATCGGGGCTAACAGGTTCTGCTGGGGAACAGATCTCGTGCAGTATTTTAAAGTGTGATCAGAAGACCTTTAGCACTACTTACAGCAAATGTTAAAAACATGGATTCTGAATCTCTACTCCAGGATTACAGGCCTGAAATTCTGAATCATAGAGGATTCTGGGGTGTTGTGAATTTGAGAAGCACCAATATATTCCAAGCCGATGGGGTTTCATGAAACATTTTCCCATATTCCTAGTGCTTTGTTATCACCTGTGATGCATCAGTGTGGAATCCCAGGCCAAGAAGAAAGTTCCACGGTTCCTGAGTCAAAGGTACTCTTTGTCTTGTTCCTGCAGTGTGCTAAATCTGAACGCCAGGTTCAGATCCTGCTCTGCCACTTCCTACCTGTGTAACCTTGGGTGAGTCACTTTACCTCCTTGTGCCTGGACAAATAGGAGTACTAACAGTGTTTACCATTATGGTGTTGTTGTGAGGAGTTCATGTAAGGCAGTGGAACGCTGTCTGGCATGTGGTAAATGCTCAAGTGCAAGCTATTATTAGCTCTTATATCTTAATTATGATAAATGTTTTCATCTATTACAATAACTCACTTGGAAATTTTTGCCACGACTGGATTATGAGCTTCTTAAGACAGACGCTTGCTGCCTAGCACAGAGGATTCTCCAACAAATACTTCTTGAGCGCCTATTATGTACCAGGCACAACACTAGGAGAGAATGCAGTTGGTGCAGCAAACAGGCCAGCCCCGGGGGAGTTGCATTCCCTGTGGACTTGTTGAGGGACTGAGTGAACCTAGTCGGGTGTCATCATTTGCAGTCACATAGACAGACCTTTGATTAAGACTGGGTTTTCTAATTCTTCATGTAGAGTTCCTTTTTTTTTTTTTTTTTTTTTTTTTAATGTTTATTTTTGAGAGAGAGAGAGAGAGAGAGGGAGACAGGGTGCAAGCAGGGAAGGGGCAAAGAGAGAGGGAGACACAGAATCTGAAGAAGGCGTCAGACTCTGAGCTGTCAGCACAGAGCTCCACACGGGGCTCAAACTCATTAGCTGTGAGATCATGACCTGAGCCGAAGTTGGATGCCTAACCAACTGAGCCACTCAGGCACCCTTTAGACAAAGAGACAATAAATTTGTGAGGAATTGGCAGGATAAAGAAAACAGATGTTTAGGAACTTTAATTAACAAGGAATTCTAAGTGGAATTTGGGTGAGGGAGTAGATTAGAAAAAAAGTAATGAGGTTTTTGCTACAGCTTTCTCAGCTTTAAAGTTTCTATCTCTGGTGATGTCTTTTTTTGCCTAGTACAGGAAGGGTATCCTTTTTTAAAAAATTTATTTATTTTGAGAGTGAGAGAGAGAGTGTGTGGGAAGGGCAGAGAGAGAGAGAGAGAGAGAGAGGGAAAGAGAATCTCAAGCTGTCTCCATGCCACCAGCAGAGAGCCTGATGTAGGGCTTGAACTGTGAGATCGTGACCTGAGCCAAAGTTGGTCACTTAACCAACTGAGCCACCCAGGAGCCCCAGGAAGGATTTCCTGCTTTCAGGGGATGGAGAAGTTTCTGAGTATCCTTGTACCCTGCTATTTATTAAGTAACTTTTTAAAAAAATAATCAGTTCTCCGAAGTGCACATTTTGGGGTGGCTTGCCCTTGGCCCCTACAGTATTAAGTCTGTATGAAGGCTTTCAACACAAGAAAGGATTGAGGCAGAGAGACTACTCAGGCTGGCATGAGAGAGGAAGGTAGGCAGGGCTAGATCATGGAAAGTCTCAGATGCATGTTCCAGAGTATAGCCTGTATTCTACAATTAATAATGATAATAGTGTGTCTTCATTTACAGTGTCATTCATTCATTCATTCATTTAGAGTAGGTTTCATGCCCAGCATGGAGCTCAATGGGGGGCTTAAATTCATGACCCTGAGGTTAAGACCTGAGCTGAGATCAAGAGTCTGGCGCTTAACCAACTGAGCCACCCAGGTGCTCTCCCCTCCTTTTTTTTTTTTTTTTTTTGGTTACAGTGTCAATTATTTAAAACAAAATCTGAAACATTCTTTTAAAGACCATACCATTGTCTCCAAAAGAATTCAGATGGACCAGGGCACCTGGGTGGCTCAGTCAGTTAAGTGTCTGATTTCGACTCAGGTCATGATCTTGCATAACTCTTCACTGGTTAGAGCCCCACATCAGGCTGTGGGATGACTGACAGCTCAAAGCCTAGAGCCTTCTTCAGATTCTGTGTCTCCCTCTCTCTTTGCCCCTCCCTGCTAATGCTCAGTCTCTTAAAAATTAATAAAGATTAAAAAAAAAGAATTCAGACTGGACAAAAATACATTCACCCATAGATAATTCAGAATTAAATGTGTGCTTACCACAAGTTTTAATTACAAATTATCACAAGAAATGTGATTTTTTAAAAATTCACAGAAGTATTTGTGTAATATAACTTGGATGGTATTTAATGCACTGCATCCTAAATCCTACATTCCAGGACTTTCACTGCGAATTTAAATCTTCATCTTCATCAACCCTCTACCAGCCATGCAATATGTTTCCTGCTCAAATACGCATTCACTCTTTCTGGCTTACTAATGTTCTCTTCTGTGCTTTTTCGTTGACATGTTTTTCCCCTTCGGAGCTCCTTGCCTTTCCTCTAGCAGACCTTGAAGCTATAAATTTCTCTCCCTTACCACAGAATTCCTTCCTTTAATATCCATCTTAAAACGCTGTTTCTCATAAGAAGTTTTCCTTTATAAAATAAATGAGGTGCACACACTCATAATTTTCTTCACCCAGTTGCCACAATCCTATTGCCTATTGCCATATTATAATATTATTATAATATTATATATTACAATAATCTACAGGGCCTGAAATATTGTGTGGGGCAGATAACAGAGCTGGATACTATTTGGTTTTATTTCATCTGCATGGTTACGTTCTTCTGGAACATGCTATACAAACCCCATCTCTTTGTCTCAGTGCCATGGTGGCCGTTTAGAAAAGCCATTTAAAAGGCAACTTTACAAACAGTGCAGTCTGATTCAATGCTTAGTATTCCCCACACCTCTGGCTTCTGTATTATCAGCCTTGCCTGTTTGTTTCCTGTTTTGCTTTTATTTCCCCATATGAACAGACGAAGCAGACACAGCAGAAGGACCGTTGGTCCTGCAGATTCCACCTTCCAAAGGAAATCCAAAAGGAGCCTCTGGCGTGTGTGGTGTTGCTTAGCAACCCACCCAAACAAACATGTTTCCCTCTCAATTTTTTCCCAGTCCTTATTTATTCAAGAACACTGTAAAATAAATTTTTACCACTTGACATCTGAAATCATTAGAAAAAAATTTGGTGTTTTGGGCTTTGTGAGAACTGCTAAGCATACTGAAAATTTTACTTGCTTTTATTTCTCTATTTACTGCACAACTAATACAAGGCTAGGGTTTGTGCTATTCTTCTTCATGTCTAGAGTTTGGTTTGGATATGTCCCTTCTTCTGTGGGGGCCTGGTTACCTTCGTACTGTTGTTGGGTAACACTGTGATTTTGATGACCTAACTTCTCTATCTCAGTTG